GGGTCTGACGGCGTGACCGGACCCCCACTTTTGATCGAGTAGCTGCTGGTGTGTGCTTTTCACTATCGTTGTATAGTTGAAGGTTGTAAAAAGTTTTCTATGGCAATGCCAGTGTATATATATTTTCAGAGTTGTTTGATTGCTGGTTGTTCTACCTTGGTCTCATGTGTTTATTTGTACAGGTGTGTATATATATATATATATATATATATATTTATTTATTTATTTATATACGTGCTTCCGTATGCGATTGATCTCTGATTGGGTATTGGGTTGGCGACGTTTCCTGGGAACGTTGCACCATAATCGACCATGACGGGATGTTGCGTTCCAGTGGGGTACGGGGCGTGACACCACAACTAGTGCTCTCAGTAATTCGTGTTTCTTCTCACATTCACACCAGTCGCCAGAAAATGGACGTGAGAGAATCGATCCCCAACCAGACCGACGTCGCCCTCACCCTCTCCAAGCAACTCCTCTTGACCCAGGTCGAGGACTCCAACCTTGTCTTCTCTCCCCCCTCCATCCATGTCGTGCTTGGCCTGATCGCCGCTGGCTCCGCGGGGCCCACCCAGGACCAGCTCCTTTCTTTCCTCAAGGCCAAATCCACCCACCACCTCCACTCCTTAGCTTCTCAGCTCCTCGCCGTCATGCTCGCCAACGATAGCGCCGCCGGTGGGCCCAAGCTGTCCTTCGCAAACGGCATTTGGATCGATAAGTCGTTGGCTCTCAGGCCTTCTTTCCAACAGGTGGTGGATGCGTCTTATAAGGTGGCGGATGCGTCTTATAAGGTGGCCACTAATCTTGTTGATTTCAAAACCAAGGTTAGTTCTTGCTCTTTTTTCCGTGTTTTTTTTTTGGGTCGAATACATGTGTGGTTTTCTTGGTTTCTTTGGTCGGATGGTTATGAGAGGTTGAGTGTCTGTGCTTAGGAATTTAACTAGATGGTGTTCTACCTGTTTGCTGTTTCATGGGTTTAACACTCTTCCGTGGATTGAAATGTAAGAGTTTGTTTTATTCGTAAAAACGCTTCGAAAATCATTTCCTCTTCTAATTTTTCTTTTGGTTCGGGATTTGAAATACTGCTTGTAATTGGTTGACTCGTTCAACCAAACCTCCCGGAATGGAACATCTGGTTTGGTTAAGGCAATAGCTCTTTCTTGTTGGCTTGCTTTTCTTCTAGGTGTGAAGTTTACTCCAAACAAGCCCAGACAATATGTAAATCCTCTAAATTGAGCTCATGTAACCTTGGGTTGGAGGCCTACATGATGAACATAAAAGGGTAAATTTGATGAATGGTCACAAAATCTGGTAAGCTTCAATGAAAAAAGGTCAATCTAGATGCGTTGGTCAATTGATTCTCCTAAACAATCATATAAAATTTACTTAACTAGGGCTTTAGATGATGTTGTTTGAAGCTATCAAGTTAAGAGGGACCTCGATCGTGCCCTGTAGATGCATTTACGAGAATTTCCTATTCTCTGTCATATTCTAAGCATGTTGAAGCCGTAAACTTTATGCTCCCAAAATGCAATTCGCTAGTGCAACAAGTTTTACCCTCCTAACAGAGGCAAATATTGATATTGCACCGGGCTCCTGTGCACTTCTTACCATAGCCATAGATCATATAAATACAGAGAAATAGAAATGACCATATAAGGCAAAAAAAAATTAAGCATAGCTATTACAGAATACGCTGCCCTCTAGCTGTACGAACCCCAATCATAGGTTACACTGTTATTTCTAATTGGGTATTTGCATACTTGTTATGATCAAGCAATTTCAGTATGGCTGTAGACTGGAGTGAGATGTGTCATTGTAGATGTTTCTGGAAAATATAATTGTAGATTAGTTCTGCAGCTTGTGCTTGGATTCCACGCTGTGCTTAACTTAAGGATCTTGGAGAACTGACTTATCATGCAATCACCATGTTAAAGAACATCTTTTGTAGTCAAATACTTCAAGTAGTGCAATATCGACTAGTCAGACTCTCACATATGTTCCGTGAGTACTAGTATGTTGCCTTTGTTAGGAATTTCAGCAGTCCTCTATTTGAATATCAGTCTTTCACTTTGTTGGTGCATGGAGTTATAGAAACATAGGGTGACCGTTTTTTTGTGGGGACATCTTTGCTGACGGGGTTACCCTTTTTTCTTGTACCTATTGTTTTCTTGGTTCTCTAATGTTCCTTTTGTTGCCTAATTCTCTATATCAATGGTTTGTCTATACTACTTTGAGTTGTGAAATTGATGCGTTTGTTCTTTCTTAAGTCATGGTTGAGAATGTGGTTATGTGCTAATTAACTTTAGTATTGACCCGTAACTTTCATCCCTCCATAAATGGCTTGGATTCCAATTGAACTGGAGTCTTTTCTAAGTTCTTTACATGACTTTCCTTTCTATTTGTTAAACACTGGTGTTAGCTGCTCGCTTTTTGCGTCACCTGGTATTCTATGTACTGATTAGAAGAACCCATTAGGCTGTTGAGGTGACTAGCGAGGTTAATGCGTGGCCTAAGAGGGAGACCAGTGGCCTCATAAAGGAGGTTCTCCCGGCTGGCTTAGTTGACAGTTCAACTCAACTCATTTTTGCGAATACCCTTTACTTCAAAGGTGCTTGGAATGACAAGTTCGACCCTTCAAAGACAAAGGATAATGACTTTTTCCTTCTCAATGGGAATTCTGTTCAAGTTCCCTTCATGACTAGCGAGAACGAGCAGATCCTAGGGGCGTACGACAGTTTTAAAGTCTTGGCACTTCCTTATAAGCAAGGGGAGGACAAGCATAAGTTTTCGATGTACTTACTTCTTCCAGATGCGAGAGACGGACTTCCGCTCTCGTAGAAAAAGTCGGTTTCGAATCGGCTCGGATCGCCATCTTCCCTACAAGAAATTGGAAGTGGGGGAATTTCGAATCCCGAGATTCAAGATATCCTTTGGATTTGAAGCTTCAGAAGATCTGAAGAAGTTGGGATTGGTATTGCCGTTTTCGAGTGGAGGAGGATTGATGGAGATGGTAGACTCTCTCAATCTCTATGTCTCAGCCATATTTCACAAATCCTTCATTGAAGTTAATGAAGAAGGAACAGAAGCAGCCGCCGCTTCTGTTGTTATTATGTATGGGAGTTCGCGTTTTTCGGAGAAGATAGACTTTGTCGCCGATCACCCGTTCCTGTTCTTGGTGAGAGAGGATATGATTGGCACGATATTGTTTGTGGGTCAGGTGTTCAATCCACTAGCCGACTGATTATAAGTCGAACAAGAGCGTTAGTATTCCTGACTATATTGGCATTAAAACGAGAGATTGTATGGTTTATTGCGTATGGTTTGATGTATTAATTCATCAATGCACAATTAGGGAGGACGCAATATCTTATTGTATTGTATCAATTATCATCACATGTTCATGGACATGTATGTCTTCCCATCTCTTTGCCCCTTCTATTTATTTATTTTTTCATAATAAAAGTATAGGGAATAGTTCTTTGATAATTCAAGTTTTTCTTTTGATCCGGAAGTATCTATGCCTATAAACACATTTGAGATTTGCGCGATCAAAATCGAATACTTCCCAAATCAGCATTGAGTACATGTACTTACCGCGTCTTGGATTCTCACTTCGCCTTTCGCAGTTGCGTGAATGAAGAGACCTTATTTGTCCGTATACTTTGTGTGGCTTGACTTTGTGGATGTCTCTATCAAAAGAAAGGAACACAACACAAATGCTCTCTCAAGCCGAGCCCGAGGGACTCGCAAGCCGCTTACCCCACTTTTCGCCCCTATCCCTTGCTTTTCTTTTTTGAGGGGGCATGGGAAAGGGTGTTTTTATGGGGAGGGGGGGTTTGTTTATTAGGATGAAGGCCTGAATCCTCAAAGATGTATTACTTGTTTTGTCATAGAAGTATTTCAGTCATTATCTGTTTTGGTGAAGCCCTGTGCTCACACTTGATATCCTATTCTCCCGTGGCACTTATATTATTGCCCTTCGTTGTGATATTAATTTATTTGGTTCAAATTGCTCCCCCTCTTCGCCTGTAGGGATATTTGACGCTATCGGATAGTGGATGGGCTGAGAAGCAAATATACCAAGCTGCTCTCAATGGTAATCGCATGCAGAAAGACGATTAAGTTACGCCATTGTCAATTAGTTTATTATATGGGCACGGTAGCTATTAAAGTTCATTGGTCAAATGCCTCTCGTTGTCTACGAAATCCCTCCTCTGAGCTAACAATTTGCATAGTCACACAACTACGCATAGACGAGGTTGAAGCACTCTTGTGTTGCTGCAAGTCTGATTAATCGAGGCTGATTGATATGCAGGACAATGTACATTCGTTCTCTTTTAATGTCGACACTGAAAAATCTATGTGCAGAGTCCCGTGCAAAGCTACTATTCTTAAGCTCTATCTGATTTTGGTGTTCTAGCTTTTCTATTCCGGTGCAGAGTTGAATTTGCCCTCACTGCTTTGTCTAGGTGAACAGGGGTTTGGTCTGCTTTTTCTTCCCTGTGCCCGTGTCTCAACATCTCTAATCCACTCAAAACAAATAAGAGCAGGGAAAATGGAGTGATCCCTTAGGTGGTGAGTTCAGGACACTAATCTTACAAGCCTTCCTACATTGATGCAATGTTGACTTTTCCTCCTGGAAGTACTATTCTCGCAAATCTAGAGTAATGGGGTATGCCCACGAGATAGGTGATCTCTGGATTTATTTTACTTTGGCCCTGTTCCATGATTCCATCTATGTATGAAACTCGTAATAATTATGATTTGAAGATGGGTGCTGTCCATGATGATTCTTCTGATGCACAATTTAAGGACAAGTTGGGCAAAACATGGGTCGAGGGAGAGGGATGGCTTCATATTCCAGGTTCCATTAGACAGTAAAAATACTCTCCTTGGTGTTCTGTATGAAGCAGTATGATAGGTAAGACAGAAATGGAGTGTGCTATTGACCGATGTCGCTTTGAAAATCACTCAACCTTGCCTCACAAACCGGTCTAATTGTGTGCTCCTCAACTGGTGTGCTATTTACTATGGTAAGCAATTCCATATCCCGTGCAAGCAATTGCTGGGTACGAAGAAAAGCAAACCAATCCATGTCCTTGCAAGCAATTGCTGAGTTCGAAGTAAGCAAGTTTTGATGGCTCATATAGATCCAAGTGAATTGAAGTGAGTCTATGCTTCCTGCAACAAGACAGTACACCTCTCGTGTTATTCCAGTTCATCCTCGTTAAAAGTCGACAAGAATTACCAACTTGTGATGGACATGATGATTCCACGATGTCGTTTTCCAGGATTTACGAACTATAGCCAAACAAGTTTTCATGAGACAATGAACCTACAACCGAAACAGCAACAACATAGAAGACAAACAATGCAAAGAACAACATGAAGGCTCCCACCTTGAGGTCGAACGTCAACTTTAGGTTTCAAAGCAGCTTCCTGATTGAAGATAATAATGAACTCTTTGACCTTTCCATTTGCGCTGCTTCTACCAATGCCATCTTGTTGACCTGTTGGCGATCCCTGCGATGCAACCTTTGTTACTCCTTTGTTGTTCGAACTGCGAAAACCATCTTGTTTCTTTACTCCTTCATCAGCATCATTCTGCCCAAAAGACTGTTCAGTACTCCTCAAACTTTTAGATTCTGCTTCCTTCTTCCTGTCTGCCTTGACCTCATTACTATCTGCAACTGGAAAAAAGAGATGCTGAATTCGAGATTGCATGGAAAGATAAAAAAGTATTTGCAAAGAACGAAGAGGTTTTAATTCGGGCTTGGATAGTTCTTCCTCTTTCTCCATAATCTGACGCAAACCTGTCTGGGGCAGAGCGTGGGATTTTGTTTCTCCTCTTATTGGATGGCATGGCATCACTATGACCATCTGCGCTGTTCCTTAAGCTGCTCAAAGTTTTTGGTCTGCTAACATTGACGCCTGCTTCTTCAGCAGCGTGGCGTGTTTCCGCTTGGACTTGCAAGCTTGATTGCTCCATTGTCACAGGGGAGGCTGGAAGATGATGAGGTCAATTGAAGTTAAAACAAAGGCATTAATCGGAAATGTTTTACCTAACATCCTGAAGCGATTTCTATAGAGTATCCTTTTGCATCCAAAAAGATGACGCGGAAACCATTTATTCAATATGATCGAAATTGCCAAAACTAGTTTTCTTCTGCTGTAAATGGAAAGCAAATTGAGACACGATAGCACCACCCAGGAATCACTTTTTTCTCCTGACCTAGCCGTCTCACAACCAGAGCTCTCAGTAACGCGTGTTTCTTCTCACGTTCACACCAGCCACCAGAAAATGGACTTCAGAGAATCTATTGCCAACCAGACCGACGCTGCTCTCGCCCTCTCCAAGCAGCTCCTCTTGACCCGGGTCGAGGACTCCAACCTCGTCTTCTCTCTAAAAGAACAAAGGAATTTGATTCTTGATCTCAACGTACCATTGTTGAGATGATTTCCATTATATATATTACAAATGTTACAATTCGTAAGGAAACAATACAACAATGAAAATAATAAATGAAAAGATCATTATATTATAAGAGTTGTGAATCACTTGATTCTAGCATCTCCAAGAATTATCTTGTGATTTTGATTGATATCTCTATATACTTCTTCGTTGATCGATAAATCAATATCTTTACTTCCCCCTCAAATTGGGAATAGGAGAATCCCAAATTTCAATTTGCGACATAAGTTTCCAAATCCATTTGTAGACAATGGTTCCATGAAGATCAGCAATTTGATGCACAAACGGGACATACTTAGACACAAGTGTTCCAAGAGCCACCTTTTCTCACACGTAATGATAATCTAATTCGATATGTTTAAATTTTGCATGAAACACTTGATTAATCGACATATAAAGTGCACTGATATTATCACAAAATAATATTAGTGGACTAGAGAGATGAATACCCAAATCTCTTAAAAAGAATGATATCCATGGAATCTTTGCAGCTGTCGATGCCATTGCATGATACTCTGCTTTGGCACTAGATCGAGCAACCGTTCATTGCTTTTTAGCTCTCCATGATATGCAGTTGCTACCTAAGAAAGTACAAAATCCAAAAGTCGATTGTAATTGCTGGACAAAAGTCCAAAAAGGCTCTCGGGCCTTCTTTCCCACAGGTGGTGGACGCGTCTTATAAGGCGGCCACTAATCTCGCTGATTTCAAAACCAAGGTTAGTTCTTGCTCTTTCTTCTGTTTATTGGGTCGAATACATGTGCGGCTTTCTTGGTTTCTTTGGTTGGATGGCTCTGAGAGGCTGAAGTGACTGTGCTTAGATATTTTGACTAGGTGTTCTACCCATTTGCTTTTTCATGGGTGTAACGCTCTTCCATGAATTGAAATGAAAGCGTACGTTTCATTCATGAAAACAGTTTTGAAAATCATTTCCTCTTCTAATTCTTCTTCAGTTCGGGATTTGAAATACTTGTAACTGGTTTGCTTGTTAAACCAAACCTCCCGGAAAGGAACATTTGGTCTGGTCAAGGCGATATCTCTTTCTTGTTGGCTTGCTTTGGATTTCGCCTGGGTGGGAATTATACTCCAAACATGCACAAACAGTATGTAAATCCCCTAAATTGAGCTCATTGTAACCTTGTGTTAGAGCCCTACATGATGAACATAGAAGAGTAAGTTGATGAATGGTCTCACAAAATCTAGTTAGCTTCAAATGAAAAAAGTTCAATCCAGATGCGTTGGTCAACTGATTCTCCCAAGCAATGATACAAAATTTACTTAATCAGGTATTTAGATGATGTTGTTTGATGCTATCAAGTTGGAAGGGAGCTCGATCTTGCCCTGTAGGTGCATTTACAAGGATTTCCTATTCTCTGTCATATTTTAAGCCATATCAAAGACGGAAACCTTATGCTCCCAGAATGCAATTCGCTCTCCTAACCTTCCCATTCATCATCAATGTACTGATTTTCCACATATTAACTACATGGGAATTTGTAGTAGAGGCAAATATTGATATTGCATCCGGCTCCTGTCCACTTCTTACCATGGCCATAGATCATATAAAATACAGAGAAATCGAAATGACCATATTAGGAAAAGAAATTTGGCATAGTTATTACAGAATACATTGCCCTCTCGCTGTGTCAACCCTAATCACAGGTTACGTTGTAATTTCTTATTGGGTATTTGCATACTTGTCATAATCAAGTAATTTCAGTATAGCTAATGACCGAAGTGAGATTGTCACTCAAGCGATGAGCAAGTTATTTTACTTGAGTGACAATCTCAGTAAATTGGAACTCTTTGTAAAAACAATTTTGATCATACATGTAGATAATGCTTGAAAAGAATCAATGCTTTGGCGAAAATGCAGAATTTAGCAATGATGACAGCCTTAGCTGGGCATATCATTGTGCTTCGTAGACAACATATACAGGTATACTTGTCCGACGAATGGTTGACTCTTGATCATACAAATTAGTTTCTAATATTGCAATGTGCAAATCGATGTTCGCCGGCAAAAAGAAAGATATTTATATTGTATGACAGACTGAAAGTTCTTGCAGTGAACAAGATAATACATTGGCCAAAAAATCTTTTTTCAAAGGCCACGATGGCGGCCTTGTAGCGGGTGCCCTGTGATATCCTGAAAATTGTCCATTTGGGATTTATGAAATGCTTGGGTTTATGAACGTACTCGTAGTTAGTTCTTGCCCGGAACTGATCATTCCTGGGATACTAACCATTAGGGAAAGGCTAATTAGGGATTTAAATTCATGCGACTAAAAGAAAATTCGATCGTGAATTGATTTTCGACCATAAAATCGCCGAGGTGACATTTTGAGCCACTGTAGGCCGATCCAAGTATAGCCAGGGGTCAGTTCGCCACTGTCATAGTAGTGGATCGCAGGTGATTTCGCTTGTAACGACATGGGTCCCACTCGCAAGATATTGTCCGCTTTGGACACTAAGTCCTCACGGTTTTGTTCCTCCGAGGGCAGCCCATACTACCCCCAGAAAAGGCCTCTCTTGCAAGTTAAGGCTTCCCAAGCCCTTATAAACTAGCCCAGAACTCCCCCCTAAGCGATGTGGGACAGGAGACATGCCCCCCTTGCCATCCTAGAAGCCTACCAGGAGCCGCTCCTTGTCCAGGCCCTTTGGCCCCGGCGACCACTCCCCGCCCTCGTCGGACCGGGTCGTTACATTGTATGGGCTGCCCTCGGAGGAACAAAACCGTGAGGACTTAGTGTCCAAAGCGGATAATATTTTGCGAGTGGGACCCAGGTCGTTACAAATGGTATCAGAGCCGACTCCCGACCGCGTGTGGGGCCACAGCGGGGACGCTGTGCCCAAACGGAGGGAGAATGTAACGACCCGGTCCGACGAGGGCGGGGAGTGGTCGCCGGGGCCAGAGGGCCTGGACAAGGAGCGGCTCCTGGCAGGCTTCTAGGATGGCAAGGGGGGCATGTCTCCTGTCCCACATCGCCTAGGGGGGAGTCCTGGGCTAGTTTATAAGGGCTTGGGAAGCCTTAACTTGCAAGAGGCCTTTTCTGAGGGTAGTATGGGCTGCCTCGGAGGAACAAAACCGTGAGGACTTAGTGTCCAAAGCGGACAATATCTTGCGAGTGGGACCTAAGTCGTTACATCGCTGGACTACAAAATGAATTGACGAATGATCCAGAACCTATACCGAACGATCGTGCCCCTCGGATCTATCAATCGATCCTCGCGATTTAAATGACAACCGAAGTCGTCACGAACCGAATAAACTTGCACGTGACTCGATTTATTATTAGTCACGGGTCGAATATGCAAATTTCCCCAAAAGCCGCCCGTTAGTTGAGAAACACTCGAGTTACGTTTAATAAAATTTAATTATTAATTAGAGCCCAAATTGGACATCGGAAAATTAGGAAGTCACGACGAGACGTTAGGACGACGTTGTGGTTGGAACGTACAGCTTTGGATTTTCCCGGATCCTTCAAAAAAATTCAATTTCGGCAAGAAAATGTGACCATTTTACCCTTGGGAGTTTATAAAGGGCAAGTGTTAAAGGGGAAGGTCATTTTGGTCATTTTGCCCTAAATTTTGAATTGGACAATTTTGCCCTTGGACTTTTTGAGAAATCCTCAAATTGCCTTTGGATATTTTGGAAAAGATTCGATCTCGGCCGTCGATTCCAAGATAAGATCGAATCTCGGCCGTTGATTAAAAAGATTAGAGAGGGGCAAGTTGGTAATTTGCCAAAATTGGTCAAATTTGGACTATTAAAGAGATAAGACTCTCTCTCTCTCTCCTCATTCTCTCTCCCCTCACCTCACGGCAGCCCCCCCCCCCCCACCGAGAGCTCTCTCTCTCTCTTCCACCTTGGCCGCTCGCCGCCGCTGGCCACAGCCCATCTGCCGTCCCGCCACCACCATACCGCCCCACCACCACCCTCACGCCGCCATCCCTCTCTCTCCCTCTCCCGTGGCCGTGAACCGCGGCAAGGAGGCCGTCGCCGCCGCCGAGCGCCGCCGCCGCCGCTCGCCGCCGATCACCGCCGCTTTCCGCTCTAGCCGCGTTAGTCTAGAGTTTGGTAAGTCGCGCCCTAAACCCTATTTAGGACGTCGGGTATCGACGGACAAAATTGGGAGTGAAATCGGGTTTAATTAGACGCGGATTGGTATAGTTTTTTGGGACGGAATTGATTAGCGGGCCTAAGAAATGGATTTGGGAGATTTTGATGGAAATTTAGAGGCCGAGTATATGCTAGAAATTGCTAGTTTGAATGCTGGAAAATACGGTTCGGTATGTAAATTGTGTATTTAGATCCGGCGACTAATTGTGGGAAAATGTCGTGAAGAGCCGGAACTGATTTGCCGTGGTTTTGATATGGAAAAATGCCAATTTATATGTTGGTTGTGCGTTTTGAACTGTGGCTGAATTGTGGTGATGAAAGTGGGTGCATTAATGTGCAATTGATTGATTGAAATATGCTTGATTATGTGCACGCTCGGGCCGAATTGAATTAATTGTCAATTGGCCATATTGGATGTTTATT